GGGTCCTCGGGGGCTCTGCGTGCCCACTCCCGGCGGGTCCTTGGGGGCTCCGTGTGCCCACTCCTGGTGGGTCCTTGGGGGCTCTGCTCTGCGTGCCCACCCCCGGCCTGCGAGAACCAGAAGAACCAAACCTGCCTCCCTGTCTCACCGCCAGCAGCTCCAGCTTCACGTTGAGAAAATCAAGGTCCCTCCACAAAACTGGATTAGGAAGAAAAGAGAAGGGAAGAGGAGGCCGAACCTCACAGCTGGAAATATCTAAAACCTAGAAAGAGGTCTTCGTTCCCACAGGGAGTGAAACGGAAAAGAAGGTTGGTGCTCCCAGGGCTCCCGCGGACCTGTGCTTTGTAAATGCTTGGTTCTTTCTGTCACTGCGCTGCTATTGTTTCAGCAGTGGGCATGTTACATGGGAGGCCCACATAATAAACACGATAAAAAGACTCTCATCTCCCGATCAGAAAAGAGTCCCTCTCCAGCAGTCCCTGCAGCTCTGGGGTGTACGGTTTGAAAATCTAAGGAACAGACAGTGATTCAGGAGGCAAGAAGCCAGCCCAACCTGGAGACCAGCCTAATGAGCCACGAGGCCCAAACAGCAGCGAGGTAAGAGAGCAAAAGGCCCAGCGCTACTGAAACGTGAGCCTGCAGGACCCCGTCACAGAACAGAAGAGGTGACCCAGCGCGGTGGCTCACGCCTGTAATCCCCGCACTTTGGGAAGTTGAGGCGGGTGGATCACCTGAGGTCAGGAGTTCGAGACCAGCCTGACCAACATGAAGAAACCCCGTCTCTACTAAAAATACAAAAATTAGCCGGGCATGGTGATGCACACCTGTAATCCCAGCTACTCAGGAGACTGAGGCAGGAGAATCACTTGAACCCATCTGCTCAGGAGATGAAGGTCGCCGTGAGCCGAGATGGCGCCACTGCACTCCAGCCTGGACAACAAGAATGAAATTCCGTCCCAAAAAAAAGAGACGAGGTGTGCGCACGTGCGGGCCAGCGCTACTGAAACGTGAGCCCGCAGGACCCCATCAGAGATGAGGAGAGGTGTGCCCGCGTTCACGCTCATTCTCACGCTTGTCAGTCCAGCCGCTCTCCCCACCCCACCCCTGCACCCGCCCCTGCACACACACACACGCGCGCACGCACACACACCTGACACAGAGCCACGCGCATGTAGCTAGCCGCCGCGCACACTCACTGACCAGGGCTGGTAACTCCTCAATATTTGGTAGTGCTATTTCATAGTGATCTGGGAATATAACAAGTTTGGCTTCATCTTCATATTCATAATCGTCGCTATTTAAATCGTCATCAGTATCTAGATCTGAGGAGGAAACAAAAACAGAGAACAAGAAGTGAGGAAAGCAGCATCCCACACTGCTCTGGGGAAAGCCACGAGTCCAGGGCGAGGCGATCCCAAGGGTGTGACATCCTCAGCCTGCTCCTCTGACATGGCAGGCCATCGTCCCAAACCAGCAACAGCTCCCTGCCCAGCTTTCCTAAGTCGTGAACACTTACTTATCAGTGACTGATGTATGAAGAAGACTCAGCCATTCCATAAAGCTTTACACTTAAAATAGACCAATGTGCAAGATACTCAAAGAATTTCTCAGAAAGAAAATGTCTTAGAAATTCCTAAAAAGGAAAAGATTGGTAATTCCGCTGTCAGGTACCCAGCTCCTGATTTCACAATAGGTTGGAACAGTTGTTTGTTTTTTGGGGTTTTTTTTTTTTTTTGCAATATCATAATATGAAAGTATGGTTTTAGAGTTGATACACTTAGGTTCAAGTCTGGCTCTAAAACATAATGTCACTTTGGGCAAGTCACAAAGTCTCTAAGCCTTAATTTTCCCATTTCTTGCATGGAGATAATGGCATATATCTCACATAGTTTATGCCGGAGATAAACAAGAACAGGAGACCTGGCAATATAATAGGTAGTCAGTACATGTTAGCTATAATTTAAAAACAGAATCTCCCTCTTGCTCTCTCCCTCTCCCTTTCTTAGAGGGTTGAGTTACTGCATAGGAGACCAGAGGGGGAAGCCCTATAATGTGAGTGGTCAGATTGTCCTTGGCTGCGGAGAATGATCGGTAAGAAAGAAGAGCTCCTTGGCCAGGTGCGGTGGCTCACACCTGTAATTCCAACACCTCGGGAGACCGAGGTGGGTGGATCATGAGGTCAAGAGAATGAGAGCATCCTAGCCAATGTAGTGAAACCCTGTTTCTACTAAAAATACAAAAATTAGCTGGGCGTGGTGGCGTGCGCCTGTAGTCCCAGCTACTCGGGAGGCTGAGGCAGGAGAATCGCTTGAACCTGGGAGGCGGAGGTTGCAGTGAGCTGAGATCACACCACCGCACTCCAGCCTGGGCGACAGAGCAAGACTCCATCTCAGAAAGAAAGATGAGCTTCTCTAGCCTGTTATCCATCAAGTTGTCACCTCTTTGCTCGGCTCATCTCTGGTAAAGGTTAAATGAAGGCTCAAGGAAATGTCTTGTCACAATATTTACATAGACATTTCAGCATCACTTTCACAGGGATGCCAGCATCCCAGATCATGTTTGTATATTTATGCTTGGAACTATGGTGACAAAGAGTTAGTGAGTTATATTCCACTCACATGCACACAAACAGGCACACAAACACACAGAAACGTGGGCTCTACAGACAAAGTTATTTCACTTATTGAAGCAGCCACCTGAGAACCAAAGGGTCCACGCTGTTATTACTTAGACCCAGTATATGTTTGTGTACAGCTCTGCTCTTAAATTCCCAAAGGGAGGGCAGCTTGTAATAAGAAGTGAACAAATAAGATACAGCTAAAATGAAGTCTAAGCCTTTTTTTGTTCTTGGAGGCAGGGTTTCACTCTGTTGCCCAGACTTGAGCGCAGTGGTGTGATCATAGCTCTCTATAACATCTAACTCCCAAGCTCCAGCTATCCTCCCACCTCAGCCTCCTGAGAAGCAAGGACGGCCGGGCCTGGCTTATTTTTTATTCTTTGTAAAGACAGGGTCTCACTATGTGACTCAGGCTGGTCTCAAATACCTAGCCTCAAGTGACCCTTCCCACCTCAGCATCTCAAAATGCTGGGATGAAAGGTGTGAACCGCCACATCTGGTCTAAATGTTTTAATAAAAGACTCTAAACAGTAAAAGTCAGAAATACCAAAATAAAGAGCCAAACCAAACAACACTGCTAGGGAGCTACAGAAGAGAAGGTCATTTGACAAAAGGTCATTTTAAAGAAGATTCTGTGAGTTTCGGCAGTAACTAAAGGCATTTCCTTCAAGGATAGAATTCAAAGAAAGATTCTATATGTTATAAAAATGTGAATGCTTCAATATCTATAACTTCTTAAGCTGGAATCTAAATGTTTAATAAAAATAGTATTCAACCCAATTTAATATTATTTAAGTCATAGTTTAGACTTTAGGCTACATAGAAACAGAAACGTTTATGCTATGTTAATGCTAAAAATACAAAATTCATCTTCACTGTAAAGACTTTATATTATGCTCATAGACAAAAATGAGAAGGAAACCTAAACAAATGAAAATAATGAATGAATGAGCTTTATTCTTGAATCTTTCTTTATTAGAATATTGTATATATAACAATGTTAAGTAACCAAAGCATAAATCTTGTGATTTTGTATGCAGATTCAGCTCATATATTATCTGTCTCTTTTCCACAGAAAACATGCTCATTTAAAGCTAATTTAATGAGCATAAATAAAATACAAAAAAAAAAAAAATCCTTGGCCAGGCATGGTGGCTCACACCTGTAACCCCAGCACTTTGGGAGGCCAAGGCAGGTGGATCACGAGGTCAAGAGATCGAGACCAACCTGACCAACATGGTGAAACCCTGTCTCTACTAAAAAATACAAAAATTAGCTGGGCATGGTGGCGCGCGCCTGCAGTCCCAGCTGCTCTGGAGGCTGAGGCAGGAGAATTGCTTGAACCCGGGAGGCGGAGGTTGCAGTGAGCCAAGATCGCGCCACTGCACTCCAACCTGGCACCTGGCGACAGAGCAAGACTCTGTCTCAAAAAAAAAAAAAAAAAAAAGTCCTACTCTGGTATTTGCTAGCTACGTAACTCTAGAAAATTTATTTCTAAGTTCATTTTTCTCGTGAATAAGACACACATATTATCTACCCCACACGACTGTTAAAAGCGGATTAAACAAGATAAAGTGTTAAGGCCAGTGCAGGATCTGGTAGGTTCTAGGGGACTCCACAAACGACTGCCGCCATCCCCACTCCCTTCGCCGCCTCCTCCCTATTCCTGAAACGAGCACAAGCGAAAGCGCCTTCCCTTTTCCCTTCCCTTTGAGTGCAAGACCACGGCACCATGTGGGGACCTTCTATGAAATCTGAGCATCCAGAGGGTATGACCTTCAACTTCTTCTAGACTGTACGCTCAGAGAGCAGGAAATGAGTCTTACCGCCCTGTCCCTAGCCCCTGTTCTGTGCCCGGCACACACCACACTCTCTGTAAGTGTCTGTGAACGGGACTTCAGGAAGCCAACAACATCAACGTGCTAAAAACAACAGGAAAACAGGAAGATCAAAAGAGCTGCGCTGCATTTTAACTGGCAACTCCTGTGTGTTTAAGAAGACGCAAGACTGCTGCCATGCAAAAAAGTAGAACTGTTGTGCCTCTTTACACTTAGCTGACGTTTACTTTTATTTTATTTTATTTATTTTATGTTTTCGAGACGGAGTCTCGCTCTGTCACCCAGGCTGGAGTACAGTGGCTCCATCTCAGCTCACTGCAACCTCCGCCTCCCGGGTTCAAGCGATTCTCCTGCCTCGGCCTCCTGAGTAGCTGGGATTACAGGCGCCCACCACCACGCCCAGTTAATTTTTGTATTTTTAGTAGAGACGGGGTTTCACCGTGTTGGCCAGGCTGGTCTTGAACTCCTAATCTCGTGATCCGCCTGCCTCAGCCTCCCAAAGTGCTGGGATTACAAGCATGCGCCACCGTACCTGGCCATACTTCTATTTTTAATTCAATGGAATGGAAGAGGGGCATGATCTTTCCCAAAAAATTTAATCCAAATTAGGGAAAAGTCCACCAGAGGCAACCCATGTTCTGATTTAGCGGACATACTACGGTTCCTCCTGAACAAATACAACCCCACAGCCCTAATAAAACCAAGATTTCCACATGTCTCTAAATCATGTCTCGTCACCCCAAAAATATTTAGTTGAAAAACCTACAGAGTAACCATGCCCTAGGGGGCCCCATCTTCTCCCCAGCTGCTACATTCTATCTAGCTCTTACGTGGCAATACCCAAGAGAGCTTTCTCCAAGTTAAAAAATAATCATAATACAAAAAACAAAAGGCCGGGCACCGTGACTCATGCCTGTCATACCAGCACATTGGGAGGCCGAGGCAGGTGAATCAAGAGGTCAAGAGATCGAGACCATCCTGGCCAGCATAGTGAAACCCCATCTCTACTAAAAATACAAAAATTAGCAGGGCGTGGTGGCGCATACCTGTAGTCCCAGCTACTTGGAAGGCTGAGGCCAGAGAATCACTTGAACCCGTGCGGCGGAGGTTGCAGTGAGCCAAGATCCTGACGCTACATACACTCCAGCCTGGCGACAGAGTGAGACTCCACCTCAAAAAAAAAAAAAATTCTTCCCCAACTCTGCTTCGACAGTAGTCCGGGGATCTGAGGAGAAGCGGCCGGGAATGCCCATTTCCCCAGGACACCCAAGCTGTGAAGGACAGGGAGGGGACGAATGGTCCCTGCACAAAGCCATGGCCGATTCCCAGGTCAGAGTTCTCCCAGCCTGACCATATTAACTATAACTGTTGGAGGCACGTGTCTGTCCAAGGGCTGCATCATCTAACCAACTCTTTACCTTCAGGAGAAGGTACAGGGGGAAGGCCTCTTCAGCACAGAACTTATTCTCTCTCCCACTTCAGAAAGAAAGAGCAAATGCGGTTTATTTGAACCTTCTGGTTATCAGAGGCGCAGATGAAGCTTCTGAACAGGCCCATTAGCGAAACTTTGCACACATTTCCTATTTTCAGTCCATTTCTCAGCAAGTTTGAACACTGGTCTAAGCTAAAAGCAGTGGAATTTGAGTTCTCTGAGATGAAGTGGCAGATCCTTGGAAGTTCCCCTCTTCAGACACAGAACCGAACTCCTTACTCCTGCTTGTGAAAACTGGGGCAGGCTCCATAAATATGTAAATATTTCACACTGTTTTTTATGATGTATCAAACATATGTTTTTTGTCTGTTTGTTTGAGACAGTCTCGCTCTGTCACCAGGCTGGAGTGCAATGGCACCATCTCGGCTCACTGCA